ACAGCGGACATATGCTCAAGAGAGGGACAGCAGACATATGCTCAAGAGAGGGACAGCAGACATATGCTCAGGTAGAATAGTACGTACTGCTGCAGATGCATCCGTCAACACAGTCTCACAACCTCAGAGAACAAAGGGTCCTGTTCAAAGTTCAAGGAACCAGAGAGAACTCAAGCAGATTCTTTACATATTTTAGGTTTGATGTTAATCTCACAAAGATATGGCAAGTATCACCTCTTACTTATTCCGTGTTACCCAACAGAGAACGTAAGCACACTTGTCCTCAGTGCAGACTGACCCAAAGAGGACAAGAGGCGGGGTGTGGGTGGGCCTGTGCCCTTCTGATGGTAAGGACTCAGATACAGCCCCAGACTCAGAAAAGGTATAATCAGACATATTTGGGTTCTCATTCTTGTTTCCTAAAGGTTGAGAGTCAGGTGAGTAGGAGGCAGCGTTGCTTGACCTAACTGCTTTAGACTTTCTCTATAGAATCATGACCTTCATGGAAAATAACTTGGCAAGGAAGGAGGCAAAGTCTACCCTGGATGACAAAGGGAGAGCTTCTGTTCAAAGCGCAGTTTTGACAGTCTGCAGTTCGGCAGCAAGAGAATTCACAGAGGAAACTGCTGAAGGAGATTTGTGAAACCTTGAAAATTGGGAATGGTGAAAGATTAGTGAGGGGAAAGGCCTCAGTTAAGAAAAAACAAGAGAAGGTGGGAGGGAGAGGGACTGGAGACAGAAAAGAAGAAAAAGACGATGGGCAGGGAAACCCGCACACTATGCCTTTGCTCATCTGCTACATTTAAGTGTTGGTCAGTAGGCAGTTATGTGCAGGGGCAAATGGGGAGGGAAGAAAGACTGCTGTCCCTGTGTCACTCTGGGGCTTTTTTTGGAATAGGGTTTGACTGGCTTGTTGACATCTAGCAACAGTTGGGACTGATTTTTTTTTTTTTTTCTTAATGCACCTAAGCACCTTACCTGTGTTTCTTTCTCTCACAGTTGCCTGTGGGGTAGTATAATTATTTATGGTTTATAATAAGAAGAGCCTGGTATGTTGGCAGATTGATCCCTGGAGCTCACTGGCCAGACAGCCAGCCATGCAGCCGGTCTAGCTTATCCTGCATGAAAACTTCAAGATCAGTGGTACACCCTTTCTCAACAAAACTTGGATGGTACCTGAGGAATGACATGGGGAGTTTTCTCCTGGCCTTCATATGTAAACACACACACACACACACACACACACACACACACACACACACAGACCCATAGGATAGTAGTGATGCAGATGAATATAATGACTTGTATTTAGGAGCCAACGCCAAGCAGAGGGAGCCTCCAGAAGCTCCAGCTAATCCCCAGAGAGGCAATCAAGGAGGCTCTGAGCAGCCCTGGAAGCTGCTTGCATTCCTCCTTGACCCTGTGTTTTTACCCATCATTCCTCACTAGCTGCTAAAGACACAGGAGGATGCAGCTCCGTTGGAAATCCAGTTACAACCCCCTCAAGACTGTGTTTACTGATGTGAATATTGTTTGCATATTCCATAGGCAGAAGGGTTAGAAAGGTTGCAGTGTGAAATCCTAAACCAGGTATAATTTGTGGACTTTGACTTCTGGAGATGAGAGTTGAAAGGTTTTATAAGTATTTTTTTCCAACCCTGGCTGACTTTACTGCCTTCCCTCTACACCTAGGTTTCCTGACCTGGGAAATGAGGAATCTGGAAAAAGGATCATCTTGTTTCCATATGTGCCTGTATATAAATATGTAAACATATATACACAGATATAAATGTACAGATGCCTAGGATGGGGTGAGTGGTTTCTATCCTGCTTCTCAGAAAAGTGGAGGGATTGAACCTAGGTCTTGGAGCATTGAAGGCAAGTAGTACAACACCAAGCTCTACCCCCAAAGTCATTATATACATTTGCTTGGGTTAGTGCAGTCACTGTCCCTTTAAAAAGCAATGTCCTCTGTGATAGGCTCCTGTCCCGTTCCCTATTTTCTCCCTCTTCTGATGTCTATCCTGTTTGTGTTTCTAAATGAGGTTTGAGCATCTTACCCAGGGTCCTCCTCCTTGTTTAGCTTCTTTAGGTGTACAGATTACATACTGTATGTCTAATATCCACTTATAAGTGAGTAATATACCATGTATGTCTTTCTGCTTCTGGGATACCTCACTCAGGATGAAGCAGCAGGGTATTAAAGCAGATGCTGAGACTCATAACCAAACTTTGGGCAGGGAATCTTATGAAAGAAGGGGGAGATAGAAAGACCTGAAGGGACAGGAGCTCCACAAGGAGACCAACAGAGCCCAAAATATCTGGGCACGGGGGTCTTTTCTGAGACTGATACTCCAACCAAGGACCATTCATGGAGATAAGCTAGAACCTCTGCACAGATGTAGCCCATGGCAGCTCAGCCTCCAAGTGGGTTCTCTAGTAAGGGGAACAGGGACTGTCTCTGATCTGAACTCAGTGACAAGCTCACCTCCCTCTGAGGGGTGTAGGGCAGTGTTACCAGTCCACAAAGGAAAACAATGCAGACAGTCCTGAGAGACCTGATAGGCTAAGGTCAGCTGGAAGGGGAGGAGGCCCTCCCCTGTCAGTGGACTTGAGGAGGGGCATGAGAAGAGAAGAGGGAGGGAGAGAGGATGGGATTAGGAAGGGACAAGAGAGGGAGCTACAGCTGGGATACAAAGGGAATAAGTCGTAATAAATATAAAAATATTTTTTAAAAAAGCAATGCTCTTATTAACCAACTCAACTGAGGGTGATATCCAGCCCCTGGGGCTCAGGAATCCTTGGTGAAGGGTCCCCTTCTATGTGGCCCTTGGCCTGAGGAGATCCAGAGTACTTTTTGCTAATGTCCTTACCTCCAACCAGCGGCTCTCCACCCCTCCCCCATAAACCTTCAGGGCTCCAGTCAGTTCCACCCTGGGATCTCCCAGTCTTGTCACTGGCGCCACGGCCATGGTCTGAGACTCTGGAGCTAAACTCACATTGTTGGCGGGACTCTTGCGGGCCACCAGGCTCAACACGCGCGCGGCACCCCAGCCCTGCGGGCCTCGGCTGCTCCCCATCGCGGCCCGCCTCCACCGCTGTGCCTGCAGCCACCACCAGCGCCTCCTGCCGCCTCATGTCACCGGGGTCTCCACGGCCCAGTGCTACCAGGCCTCTCAACTCCACCACCGGCTGCTCTGGAACTCGAGGCATCTGAGGTTGTCATAGTGACCGCAGATGCTCAGGGCCTCCAGGGCTCTGCCAACTTCCCCTAGGCCCCAGTGCGGTGCCTGCGACACCCCGCGAGCTGTCAGGAGCTGCTATTCCTTAGATACAGACCCAGCTCTCTCAAGAGAGGTGCTTTAGCTGTGTGACTGGGAAACGGAGAGTCACAAAGCTTTGGAAAAGCGCCCAAGGCCACACAACTGGGGTGTGACTCAGCAAAGCTCCAAAGATTGGTCACCACTTAGACACAGAGGTCTGAGTGCTGGGATGGCCCACAGGCCTGGGACCAGTGATTCCCAGCTGCTCACGTGTTCTTTACTAGTCGTATCTGGACTTGGACATGATTCTCAACCAATTCATTTTGGAAATTTGCAGTTTGGGGGCTGTACGTTACTAAGGAGCTGTAGTTTACAAGGATTTTTGTGCTCATGGTCTATGTCAGCTCACAAAATCACCAGTTTAGCAGGTGACAAACCCACAGTATTGGAAAAGTAAGTCGGAAAACCGAGAGCTTGTTTGTAGCAGAGATTATCTCCATTTTTCTTTTTGCAATCATTAAAAAGTAGCATTAATTTTACAAAAGTTATATATGCATTATCTTAAAAAATTAAACAGTTCTACAAGGCTTTTAACAAACTCAAGAGACAACCCCTTTCCCCCTCAATGTGACTACTACTCGCCAGTGGCAACCACTTTTATTCTTGATTGATAATTTTGTTTGCAACCATTAAACCACCTCAGTGGGATAGAACAAAAACTAACCTAACCATGTATGAGCACCAGATATAATACAAAAGTGTGTGTGTGTGTGTGTGTGTGTGTGTGTGTGTGTGTGTATGTAGGGGTTGGGGGAGGGTGACAGAGAAGGAACTTTTGCGAGGTGACATTAGATAAATTGGATGTTCATCTGGAAAAAGCCTGAACTTTGACTCCTGATATACAGATAACACAAATAGCAGATTGGGGTGGACCAGAATCATAAAGGCTTCTAGGTGATAACTACTGAACATGTTCATGAACTTGGAGTTGGAAACAGTTTCCTATGCAAGCAACAAAAGATTAGTCATAAGAAAATGATAAGTTAGAGAACATAAAAATTAAGATAGTCTCTTGACTAAAGTCAACTATTAAGAGTGTGGGGAGTCAAGTCACTGACAGGGAAAAGACATTAGCAAAAAAAAAAAAAAAAAAAAAAATTAGGACCCAGATTATATAAAGAACTCCCAGCTGGATGTCGTAGTGCTCCCAGCACTTGGGGAGGCACAGGCAAGAGGATCTCTGTGAGTTTGAAGCCAGCCTGATCTACAAAATGAGTCCAGGACAGTCAAGGCTACACAGAGACACCCGGTCTCGAAAAACCAAGAGAAGAAGGAAGAGGAGGAGGAAGAAAAGAAGAAGGAGGAGGAGGAGGAGGTGGAGGAGGAGGAGGAGGAGGAGGAGGAGGAGGAGGAGGAGGAGGAGG